CTACTAGCTTTTGGATCAACGTGTAAAGTTTCAGTTTTGTACCGTTCAGCCCTTAACAGTTACGAATTTTTTAATAGCGCGGCAACGTTGAGTGAAATTCGGTGTTAGGCCTCCAGTTAGGAAATTTCAAGAAAATCCAGGGACTTTAGGATTTTATCGAAATTGTCTACATTTAGAGCCAGTCAATAGGCAGAGTTTCAGTTTTCTATGTTATCAAATTTTAAACATATGCTTTTTTAAATAGGGAACGGCAACGTTGAGTGGAAATTGTTTTTAAGCTTCAAGTTTGAAATTTGTTTTTGAAAAAAGCGTTGACTGCTTTCTCAATTAGAACACAACACTTCAGTGTTGCGTCTTTCCAATTTGGACAGTGATTAATTTTTTAATTCTGCGGCAACGTTGAGTGGAAATCGCGTTTAACCGTCAAGCTTGGAAAGATCTAGAAAATCAACGGACTTTCAGATTTTCTCCTGTTTTAGATCTGTAATTTTTTCATAAAGAGCGACAACGTAGAGTCGCGCATTACTTGCAGTGATAAGTTTGGAAATTTTTATAAAATCAACAAACGGGTCAATTTAATTGAAAATTTCAACACGTTCAAACCAGTATCTGCTGAATTCACACCGAAAGTTTCATCTTTGCACCTGTGGCATTTTGGAAGTTATACAATTTTAGACGCAGAACGACTAGTGGAGCTTGAAACGTTGTGATAGAAAAAACACATTGCCAGTCAATTTAAGTCCAAATAAACCATTCTACATATCGATGCAGGATGTAGACATTGATTGTGTCCTCTGGGCGAGAAAATAGATAAATCCAAAACGGACGGATGACCCCCATATGATACAATGCGCGCTAATTGCCGACACGACAAACCTGAAAAGATAAATAAAATTGTAATTTTTTCGGACAATAAACCTTTCCTGTCCATGTTTGTCCCATTGATCAGCAATCGAGGTGTGAATTGTCCTGTGCAGGAATTCGCCTATTTCGCCGCCTCTTAGATGCACTGCTGTTCACACCAACCAATTAATGGAATATTATTTGAATAAATTCCGGCCGCAAATGGTTCGCTATTGATAATTAAACGTGTTTTGCCCAAGACAATGTTTACGCTCAAAATCGCCCATAAATTAAGCCAAAAAAAAACAACTTACTAATTAAATGACTGAGACAGTGGTGGTTTTATCGCCACAAAAACGACCAAGTGAACAGATCACTGACTAAACACATCCTGCTGGTAATTGTGACCCTAAACTAAATCTGCCAGTATTATGACCCTTGTGTATCACAACAAATGCCGTTTATCTAATAATATAAATAAAAGTAAAATGGACCGTATCCTCAAATTGCCTGCTTGGGGACATTGAACATGTTTTTGTTTGGTGCTTGCGTTCGGTGCGCACTTTTCAATTAATTTTTTATTGCGTTTCAGGAAAAACTAATTGACGCCGTCTGTATTTAGAAAAAAATAGGAAATACCGTTTTAAATGATCACATTAGTGCCGGGCTCACATTGCCGGGGAAAAACACATTGTCGGTTTTCTTCTGGTTGGTCTCCATTGACCAACCAACCGCACCAGACTAATGAAAAATTGCCGATAACGTCTTTATCAACCGTTATGCTAATAGCATTTGCTAATGATGTGGTTTTTGCAATATAAACGACAGTAAATGGAACATAGATTGCCCAATCCTCAATTACACAACCCGGTTAAACCAGCTAATAGATTCAAGCGCACTTTTGACCCTCAACCGCAAAAAAATTGTTTTCGTTTAAATAAATCGACGGCACTCCGGCTCTGGGCCCCCGAAGTTTAATCAAATCAGTGCGGCAAAATAAAACAAAAAATTGTTATCAATTCGCTCCGAACAAGAGCGGAATTGCAATTACCATTACAAAACCGCACTGTTTGTTATTCAAGTCGCGATCGCTGCAATCAAAATCAAATCAATCACCCGCAGTTTACCATTGCAATTAATCAATGCCAGGTGATTGCAAGCGCAAAAATACTCAAAATTTGCCAGCCAACTGTTCCAATCAAATCAACCAGCCTTCGACCTCTATGGACGAGTTTCCGCGTTTGATCGCCCAGAACGTCGGCTCCTTTAAGCGGCGCATTCGCCCGGATGGGCGCGATCGAATCGCTTGCGACTGTTCCCATTGGTCGGGAGACCACTGCATGGCAGGGCGCAAGAACACACAAAATGGTGCATCTGCGTAGATCTCGGCCCCGAATATCGAGCCGCATCATTTAATGGTTGCCACTGCCATCAGAAATGTACAGTGTCTAGTACAATTGTGTGTAGTGTACAAAGTCTGCCGTAGAGATGTAGAAGCGGCAGCAATTGAGAATTTAAATATAAACTATAATTATTCTATTATTCAGAATTACAATTTAGTTTTTTGGATTTTGGCGCATTTTTGAAATTGAACTTGAATGTCTAGCGTCTTTTTTTCGCAAAGAGACAGTTTCAAAAAATCAGTTTGCAAAAACTAAACCAAAAGAAGCAAAAAAAAATGTTTTATTCGGTCGGCAATCAATAGAAAACACTTTACCTTACCTGTCCTGAAAGTTTCAAAATCCTTAGATGGTTCTTGGACTTTTGGCTAATTTTCTAACTTCTTAATCAGAGAGCGGCATCGCGGAGTTGCACATCGTTTTTTAGCGTCAATTGTGGACATTTTCAGAAAATCAACCCACTGGCAGATTTTATTGATATTTGCAACATTAACAAGCGCATAATTTCCCAATGAAACCGTAAAGTTTGACACATGCAGCTTTCCGATTTTAGAAGTTATGATTTTTTAACAAAGCGGCAACATTGAGCAGCGTATCATTTTTGGCGACAAGTTTGGAAATTTCTAGAAATTCAACGGAGTGCCAGATTTTGTTTTTCTAAACATTTTCGGCATTCACAACCAAAAACTTCATCAATCAACACTTAGAAACTCACTTTTGTCCCTTCCTGATTTTTCGAGGCGTAATTTTTATATACACAGTCATGACGTTCACAGGCACAATACAGCTGCTATGGGTTTCGGTCTTAGCCATCTTCAATTTGGTCAGCGGTGACTGTTGCATAAAGACAGAGAGAGATACTTTACAGTCTATAGTTGCCCAAAGGAGCTCTGCTGCACTACAGCGCTTATGCACCAGCTAACTTTGAATAGGCATGACGACAGTATAAAAGGATCAAAGAAATAATGGTTTTAGAGAAAAATATATGTTGAACGTATTTTAAAATTGACTCATTCGTAATAAAAATGATGGGATCGACAAGATTTTTAATATACTAAAAGTATAAAGTGCAGCAGTCGGCCATATTGCTTGAAACGCCAATCAGATCGCATGACGTTACGACCCTTGAAGGAATAACGCAGCCTATGTATCAGCTGTGGTAATAACGTGGTAATAGCGCTATCGCATCAGTTTATTTGTTATTTATTCGTGGTTTTGTGCTAAATAATCTAAAAGAATCAACTGCTAAAGGAGCTAACAACGATGGAACAAGGATTTATCAAAGCTAACAGCTCTAACTTGCCCAGAGTTGATAGGTTAATGTTGGAGCAGTTTTTTGCATCCAATAAAGACTTTTCCTGATCTGAGTTTCGTAATGTGAAAACTTCTTTGCAAGTACAATCTAATTTATCTTCATTGCTAACGATAATTTAATTCACACAAGCCTTTTATAACACTTGTTTTTATTTATATCATACGTTATTTTTGAGACACACAAAGTTATACAATTTTTTGATGAAAATATGTGTCAGATTTGGTGTATAAAAGTATAGAGTAGAAAATAAAAATCCTTATATTTAATCAGTATATTTATTTAATTTGAGAATTTTGTAGATTAGTTAAACCAAACGCTATTTTAATTAGGTACATCATCAAGAACTTTGACCAAACTTACATTAAGGCAACCATGTGCTTTTAACATATTACATTCTCGTAACCGTCTGATCTGATCACCCGTGGATCATCCGTTCAATGTGAATCCTCAAGTTAGCTATTTGTTTTGTTTCCTTAGCTTCACGTTTAGAAAGGTTATCCATCAAATGATACTCCATATAGTTTTCCATATCATTAGGCAGCGGAAAGGAGAATAAATAGTCTATAGTTAATGATAATTGTAAATTTATTAATATCATGTTTATATAATTGATATTTAATATCAAAAAACATTCTGAATTACTCTCTATCAATCTAAAGCAAATACTTACATCAAAGTGGTCTTCACAAAAATTCAGTTTCGTATTCCTGCTTATATCTGATGGTTTTCGCCTTGCGAGCTTTAGCCATTTATCTCACTATTTTCTTGATTGGAACGAAAACAAACAATTTATTAGGTGTTGTTATTGATGTGTTTGTGCATAGAGGAACCACACAGCACTTGTAAAATTTGGAAATCATTTTTAACACTCAAAATGTATAATATTGTGTGAACTTCCTTCCTTAAGCATAGGCACCGTGCACCCTGAATGAGGTCGTGACGTCACAGGCAGACGTCACATGACACCGACGAGCGTTTTTGCGCCTTATATGAAATGTCAAGATAAAAATGCGATTATTTGAGCAAACATATAATTTCTTGCGGAAATCATTATTTTTTCGTATACGGAATTAGTAGACGTATACCTACATTATACAATGGTATTTCAAAATCTGTCATCTTGCCTATTCTTTAAAATATTAAACAAGAACTTAAGATGCTTTCCTTCAAACTTTACTCCTGGCTGAAGTTGGCTGAAGTCGAGAGTGAAGCTAGGCATTTTTTATTATTTTCGCTCGTTTAGACTCCGATGACTACCGAGTTTATTTCTAGAGGCACATAAGCCTGATGAAATTGTTTTTGCAAGACTCACAATGAAAACTTAACCAAAGTTGAAGGAAATTTTGAATTTTGAAAAAAATCACCTATACGTGACTATAAACCTGCCATTGTGTACAATAATCCGCGAATGATCGCCCTGAATCTGTCCAATTGAGAATTTTTGCGCCTCCACTCGTCTAATTTTCCAGTGTAGCCAGTTCAGTGATTGTGTAAGGTAGTGTCGAGCATTTCCGTAGTGTTTCGAGCGAATATGCGGGATTTGGCCGCAAAAATGGCCGAGTTAAAGTTCGAAGCACCCTTAGCGCAGTTCGAGGAGTCCGACGAATGGGGCTCGACCGAGTTTCAGTCGTACAAAACGAATGCGAATGACATGGGCACGATCAACAGCAACAAGAAAGCCAAGGATTTAAATCAGGTGAACACATCCAGACGTTTGGCCGATTTTAGGGGGTTGAAACTCCCTAAAGAAATTTCGCACCTGATCAGGTGACATACGAGGAAGGCTATGCGGGGGCAGGTTTTTCAACCCTTTTAGGTTTGCGCGTATTCCAAACCACTTTGGCGGGGTTAATCTCTCAAAAATCGGAGTTTAGTTTGGGTTAATAGGGAGAAGGAAATCTGACAGATATATTGGGGGAGGTCTAGGTTATGTCACTGCGAAAATTCGCTAAAATTCCACTTGGACAACTATGGGAACGTTCCGGTTCTCCTCAGCCCTTTCTAATTAATCAGTACAAGAGTGTTTTGCTAAAAGTTAGCACTTTTGAAAACTCGGGTCATTAACCCTGTTGCCATGTTGCCATGTTGCCAGTGGTGCCGTTTGTTTACACAGGGTGGCCTATTGTCCTATATTGCCAACTATAAACAGAATTATTTTGAAATTTGCATATTATACCAAAGTTGCTGGAGGCAACTGAGAGCGAATTTTGGGTATTTTTCTGGGTTGTCAGACCCCCGCCTTGAAGTTAATTTATATTTATATTATCAGCCCAGTTTATAGATGATCACGATTTATCTTAGTGGCTTTTCTTGTAAAAATGCGTTTTTCGCTCAATCAAATCAACGACTTTTCCATAAGATAACAAAGAAAGTTGTCTTAGTTTGCGCTCTTTGCATCTGTGACCGTATCGAAGCTGCTAGGGCAAAAATCAATACCAAATTCACGTTATTAAAAGAAGCAAATGTGACTAAGAAAAAATCAACCACTCCAAACAAAATGTAGCTTTGGCAATTTTTGATGGTGTGGACGTCGCGACGTCCTTTGTTATCTTGTGGAAAAGTAGTAAAGCCGGAATCACACTACGCACTTTTCCCCTATTTATTGACCAATTATTGAAGCTATAGCCATTTAGCCTAAACAGCCGTCATTTTTCGATCAGGTGCTGAATGAGCTGAATGAGGACCTGACCAACAACTCCAACACGCTGGACCTGATCACGACCAAGTCGGCCGTTTTGTTGAAAAACGAGCAAAACCAATCACAGCACAACTCCAATCTGGAGTCGAATCAAATCCACGTATCGGACGACAATTTCACCGAAACCTTTTCCGGTTCGCTCGAAGACTTGGTGAACACGTTCGACGAGAAAATCACCAAGTGCTTCGGCAACTATGAGGAATCGGTGGAGAAGTTGGCTCCAGTTCAGGTGCGCAGCCAGGAGGAGATCATGAACGAGTGTCAGTAAGTACTCGACTTAAGTTTAACGTTGCGTTGAGGTTTGGAAGATTATGTTACCTTAGCCTTAACCAAGAATCAGCTTGTGGGCTTTCAAAGCGGTTCTCCTTCGACGTAATCCGCACCTAATAAGGCTATTTGCTTACATATTAACAGCTGTCGTGCGCCGGATTACAACGTTTCATATTACCGTCTGAATGAGTCTTCCACTCCTGGATATGTATGTTCTGTTTACCATTCAATTGCATAGTCTGGAAGGTCGAGTTTGTTATCCAGCCGCTCGCACGCATTTCGCCAGCCAAATGACTCATTGGGCTTCCTTCCACCCACCAAATATTCAGAAATGAGCGCAACATGTTGTTGTACTCGCAACTCATCGAATATACAGGGTGCTGGCAGGTGATTTCCAATCGAAACAGGGTTATCTGCAAAAAAGACGGTTTTCTCATTAATATTACGGAAACACTTGTTGCGATTTATGTCAATGAATTGGGGCTTAACAGCAAACAAAAGCACGCAAAACTCACTGAAAAACACGCTGTAGCGCAAAGCTGTCAGCGAAATGACTACCATAACTGAACCAGAATATTCGAGTGTTGCCAAATGGCTATAGGTATAAAGCAAAGCGCGACGCCTCCTAGTTAGTTAGTTAGTTAGTTAGTGAACGAGCTATGACTCAAGGTTAAACAGTGTTAAATTAGTGGAAACAGTAGAAATATCTGTTGGTTGTCGATTCCAAAAGCTGGATACTGTATCATAGTTATAAAGCAGAATTAGAGTTGAAAAAAGTCATGATTTATTATCAACATCTTTTTCCATCTGTTGAAGGAAACTTTCTTGCAGAAGAACCCTAAGCATGGCAAATATGAAGAAAAACCCTCAATTGTTCCCACCTGATGATCGTTTTCATCGTAAATACCGCAATTGTCGAGTTATTTCACGTTAAACTCGTCAATTGCGTTGAAAATTGACCAGCAAGTAGGAACAATTGATGGTTTTTCACAGTACTTGCCCACGTTTTCGGGTTCTTTTTCAAGAAGATTTCCTTCAGCAGATGGGAAAAGTTGTTGATGAAACGTTTCTTTCTCTAACGCCAATTGTGCTTCTAAATGTGTAAGAATTTTGCAATTTAGTGGGAGTAATTGTTGCTGGTAAATGTCTGTTTGTTCAGTTGATAAACTCTTAAGTTTGGCCAAGAAAGGTGTTGAATTTGTGGAAATAGTGGGAATATTCGTCGTTTTCCGATCGAAAAAGCCCAAAATTTTTCGTTATATCAGCAGCATCTTTTTCCATCCGCTGAAGGAAACTTTCTTCAGAAGAACCCGAAACATGGCAAACATGGTGAAAAACCCTCAATTGTTCCCACCTGATGGTCGTTTTTATCGCAAATACCGCAATTGTCGAGTTATTTCACGTTAAACTCGTCAATTTCGGTGAAAATCGACCAGCAAGTAGGAACAACTGATAGTTTTTCACAGTACTTGCCCACGTTTTCGGGTTCTTCTTCAAGAAACTTTCCTTCAGCAGATGGGAAAGGTTGTTGATGATGAAACTTTTCTTTCTAACGCCAATTGTGCTTCCAAATGTGTATGAATTTTGCAATTTAGTGGGAGTATTTGTAGCTGGTAAATGTCTGCGTGTTCAGTTGATAAACTCCCAAGTTTTGCTAAGGAACGTGTTGACTTTGTGGAAATACTGGGAATATTCGTCGGTTTTCGGTTGCAAAAGCCCAAAATTTTTCGTTATATCAGCAGCATCTTTTTCCATCTGCTGAAGGAAACTTTCCAGAAGAAGAACTCGAAACATGGTGAAAAACCCTCAATTGTGCCCACCTGATGGTCGTTTTAGTCGTAAATACCGCAATTGTCGAGTTATTTCACGTTAAACTAGTCAATTGCGTTGAAAATCGACCACCAAGTAGGAACAATTGATGGTTTTTCACAATACTTGCCACGTTTTCGGGTTCTTCTCCAACAAACGTTCCTTCAGCAGATTGGAAAAGTTGTTGATGATGAAACGTTTCTTTCTCTAACGCCAATTGTGCTTCCAAATGTCTATGCATTTTGCAATTTAGTGGGATTAATTGTTGCTGGTAAATGTCTGTGTGTTCAGTTGAAACGTGTTGACTTGCATTGAATTGCAGCTATTGTTCCCACTTTGTGGTCGATATTTACGGTAAATACCACAATTGAAAATATTTTGTAATTTTTCTATCGATTTAAAAGGTAATTTTAAGGGATAATATGTTTTCTTCGTCTTAGTGGTGTTTGCATCGAAAATTCCACCAGTTTTCACTCATTGAAAAGCACTATTTTTCCATGAGATAACAAAGAACGTCATCATAGTCACTGCTGCACGGTCAAGACCCAATACTTGTTGCCAAATGTCCACCAAAGTAGTAAATTCCCGTTTTCTATAGAAATAGCGGATTTACATGATTGAAACAAAATAACACTTCACCAATCAAACCAGCATTAGAAAAAAGTACCCACAAAAAAGAGACTAAACTCTAAACTAAAAAAAAATAAACTTACACAAAATGCAGATTTGGCAAATGCGCGAAGTTTTCCGACCTGTAGCACTGTCAACGAGACGTGATGACCTGATGTCCCATGAAATTGCTAATTAAAATGTTTCCTTTGTATTCAAAATGTATCGTTTTTGCTTTATTATTAAGAAACAGCATTTTATAATTGACGAATGAAGTTGGGAAACTTGAAAAACAGCTTCATTAGATTTCGGGTCCAAATAAGTTCCCGTAAAAGGAAAAAAATACTACAGGGTCATTCCGAACGGACCTCATTCCTTTGTGAGTACACGAACGCACGTTATTGGCAAAAAAACTGAATGTGAAATTAGACAACGAGGCTTTTAATCACACCTACAAAAGGCGGTTTTCCCAAACCAACAACTAAAACTGGAAGACAAATGTAAAAAAGATGATTTCCCTGCTGGAACTAAACATTTCGAACACTCAATGTGTATATTTTTGCCTGACTCCGTCGCTTGCCAAGGAATCCTGAATGAGCAATTGATTTTTCCGAGCTTATTGACTAATCCAATTTTTGCCCGACCTTCCACGGAAATTTGTGGTTGGTTTCAATGCCGAGAACGGTACATTTTCGCATACAATCTAAAACACCCTATCTCCCGAGAGGAATGATTAAGCCATAGATAAAGACAAGCTAAGATAAAGATTAAGCCCCATAGCAATTATCCAGATAAGACAAGGTGACGCAAACTTTCCGTGATGCTACCTAGTCGAAAGCAGCCTAAAACGATTTTTACTGAACAAAGAAAATATGCAGTGGCTTTCAGCTGGGGAGGACCTGAAAGAAACCGGTAATTTCAGGCAAGACGGTCAGGCCGAGATTCCGTTAAAGTGCATCTTATCGAAAGAGAGAAGCCCGTTCAAAGGCGTTATTAAACATTTCACGTTAATTAATGCATGTATTTTTAAATGAGCCTGGTCGGACTGAGGGGCCTGGTGGTTTATTCGAGTAAAATGGGGGAGAAATTACCTTCATTTCGTGCACGTTCCAGACTGGCAGGCGTCGCCTGTGGCTGTACAAGCGCCGCGGCGCCAGCCGGGATTTTAAATAGTTTTCGCCCCCTTAATTGACAACAATAGTCAATACCAAGTTTAAAATCGCTTAATGCTCCACTTTCAGCAAGTTTAATATTCATCAGTCGAAACTGATTATGGCCACGTTTGCTGATTGGTTTCGACCAACTGGCATAAATTCGTGTCTAATTAGTGTGCTGATGACCCTGCGACACTAATTAGAGACGCTTCGGCCCCATTATCTTATGGCGTATTCCCGTTGGATGCGCCTCAACGGGGGCTTGGAGAAGGTCACTCCACATTCATCCCTCTCGACTAATCGATAATTTCCTCGAGAACGCCAGGGGTTTATTATTGTTATGCAAGAGGCGCAACGGATATAACTAACAAGTAGGAGCCGATGATTTCCACCGGAAGCAGACAGTCAGATGTAAAGTTCGCAATCAATTCTTTGCTAGACGATTTCAGCAATTATGATGTTTTGGAAATCCTTTGAAGTTGTTTACCGTTTAAACACTACTTGTGTAAGCAGCGGCGGCGGCAATGTTGAATGCAGCTCAAGGCAAACATGGGAAATTTATTGAGCTTCAAATATTTGCGTGTTTTACGTGCGGTTTTTCCTATTTGGAATCACTGTGGTTGCGCTGATTTAGTTTTTTTTTCATTACATTCAACTAGAATTTTGTGTGAAACAAGAACAGGGGTTTAGCTTGCAAACAGCGTTGCCAGCAGCGCTGGTTTTTCGTAGTAAATTCAAAATAAGTAGCAAAAGTAGCTGTATGTAGGTGATGTTTTTCAGTGGATCGTAATCGGCACAAATCAATAGCGCAGGAAAATTGTCTTGACTGACTCAAAAGCAAAACTTTTTCCACACACAACGCGTTTTGTCCTACCAAAAGCACTCGAAAGTGAATCTGCAGATTCGCTGGCTTCGGATAAATTAAATGCCAAATTCATGGCGTGTTAATTGTGGCCTAAATGCCACAAAGTTATTTTCTTTGAAAATAGCCTGATGGTGGCTCTAAATTGAAACTTTTGTCAGTTGTAAAACGGAATATACCATAGAAAACTCATACAAAACTAAATTTCTAGCTTGACTAGTTTCAGCGGAAATAACTGCGAAACTCCGGTCTGTATAAAAAATTCCTGAGGATGAGTCAAAATCGAAACTTTTCCCACTTATAGAACACAGCTTGTCCTAGGAAACTTAGGCACAGGTGACCTTCTAGCTTTGCAAGTTGCTGGGCAAATAAATGTGAAACTACGGCCTGTAAAAAACCCTGTAAATCACGGGCAATTTTCAGAAATTGTCTAATGACGATTGAAAGTTTATTCACTTATAGAAGGGAATTTGCCGTATAAAATGTATCCAAAATTGACTTTCTCACGTCACAATTTACCGAGAAAATAAATGCTAAACTCCGGCTTGTAAAAATCACCACGAAAAGCAGACGCGATTTTGATTTTTTTCATAATTACCTGGTGATGACTTAAAATCGAAAAGTTTTCAGTTTATAGAGCCGACTTTGCCTCACAAACTTGAGACAAAATTGACTCTCTAACTTTGCATCGTCCTGAGCAAATAAACTTCAAGCTACGACGACTTGCTTAAATATCCTCGAAATCCACATGCACCTTTTTGAAAAATTCTTGTAAATAGCCTGGTGACGACTGAAAATCAAAACTTTCACCGCTTGCAAAACCGACTTTACCCTACAGAATGCACAAAAAAGGCCCTCGCACTTGGTGAGTTTCTGAATAAATAAATAACAAACACCGGCCTGTAAAAAAAAACTTGAAATATCAAAAGCAATTTTGAAAAATTATCAAAAATTGCCTGATGACTGAAAATGTAAACTTTAGCGATTTATACAACAACAGAATGCATGAAAAAACAATTCTAACACTTGGACAGTTTCTGAATAAATAGCAAACTCCGGCCTGTAAAAAAACCTTGGAATATCGAAGGCAATTTTCAAAATCAAGAATTGCCTGATGATGACTAAAAATTGAAACTTTAGCGATTTATTGAACAACAGAATGCATGAGAAAACGATTTTAACACTTGGTCAGTTCCTGAATAAATAGATGCCAAACTCCGGCCTGTAAAAAAGTCCTGTAAATCAAGGACAATTAAAAAAAAATGATCAAAAATTGTCTAATGATGATTGAAAATTGAAAGTTTATTCACTTATAGAAGGGATTTTGCGTATAAAATGCATCAACAATTGACTTTCTCACGTCGCAATTTACAGAGGAAATAAATGCTAAACTCCGGCTTGTAAAAATCACCACCACAGCAGACACGATTTTGATTGTTTTTTTTACAATTACCTGATGATGACTGAAAATCCAAACGCTTTCCATTTATAGAGACGACTTTGCCTTACAAACTTGAGACGAAATGAACTCTCTAACTTTTCAACTTCCTGAGCAAATAAACCTCAAGCTACGACGACTTGCTTAAATATCCTCGAAATCCACATGCAAATTTTTGAAAAATTCTTGTAAATAGCCTGATGACGACTGAAAATCGAAACTTTCACCGCTTGCAAAACCGACTTTGCCCTACAGAATGCATAAAAAACGACACTCGCACTTTTTGAGTTTCTGAATAAACAAACAGAAAACAATTGGAATATCGAAGGCAATTTTGAAAAATCAAAAATTGTCTGATGATGACTAAAAATTTAAACTTTGATCACTTATAGAACGGACTTGGCCCTACAAAACTCATCCAAAACTGACTTTTTTACTTTATGTGACAGAGAAATTAAATGCTAAGCCCTGGCCTGCAAAATCACCCCGGGAACGAGACGCAATTTTGAATTTTTTAAAAATTGCCTGATGATGACTGAAAATCGAAACTTTGGTCACTTATAGAACGGTCTTTGGCCCATAAAATGCATACCAAAGCGACTTTCTTCGTTCATCAGTTCAAAGACAACGTCGTAACCACCTGCAACTTATGACAAAATTGTCAAAAAAATTCCTAAAGATGACAGAAATTTAAATTTTATCCACTTAGAGAAGCGACTTTGGCCTACAAAATGCGCCGAAGATTGACTTTCTCACTTCGCAAGTTTAATAAAAAATAAATGAAAAAAACTGCGGCCTGCAAAAACTCAGACGCGATTATGAACAATTTGTAAAATTGCCTGATGATGATTGAAAAGCGAAGCTTTCAAATCTTGTAGTCACTTCGCAAGTTACACAGGAAATAAAGACTCCAGAATGCAAAAACCAGACGCAAATTTCATCTGAGCATCGAAACGTTTTCCACTTATAGAACAGGGTTTGGCCGCTAAATGCAATAAAAAACTCTAATTTTGCTGATTTCTGGAAAAAAATGGAGAGCAATTTGCTGAGCGGTGTAATGGCGTAACAAAGAAGACTGTATTTAAAGGAGGAATTTTCATTTTTTCTCCTATAAATCTTTTTAAAAAAGTTCCTTCTTTATAGAATATGGTGGATGATGATTTTCTGTGTTTTTTTTTTCAGAATGTGGTGGACCATTACTGGAAACTTTGGAAACATTCTGCCCATCGATTGGTCCAAATCCTATGCGAGAAAGCTGCAAATCGACTCGTTGCATTTAGAGCAGGTGAGTCTTTTCCACTTGGCTAAAGCTTAGTGCGCGTTTAGACGAATATTTTGCAAAGGCGCATTTAGCTGAGATGCACAGCATAAAAACTGGTGGTGGTAAAAAAAGACACCTCCAGACACTGCAAAATCTGAAAGAGCGTGAGAAGAAAGTGTAACCAATCCGAGAGTGAATTGAACAGTGCTTGAAAGTTCTGGACTAAATAAAATCTTGAACAAGAAAGTGCCGCTAAATGACCAGAAACTATGCCTGCTCACAGCTGCAAAACGGCCAGAATTTACTCATTAGACCCACCGGGAGGCAAATTTCAAACAAAAAACGCGCAATATATTCTCGTTTAATTCGGGCGCAAAAAGTCGCGATTGCATCACAAGCAAAATAAGCATCAATTTAAAGCGCTCTTAATAAATCCTTGAAATTGGACTGATGTGTGGGACCTAAACCATCTGGCCCGTTATTGTCATCGGCTTGTTAACATTCATTTATTTAAACAATTCTTCCACGTAGCTGATCGGGGGGTTTTCTATTGCAGCAACCGCAATCTCCTGAAGACGATCTGGATTTGTCATCCGAAGACGAGCAAGTGGCCAACGACTTGGACATGCATGCATTAATTCTGGGAGGAATCCAGCAGGATGCTGAGCCTCTAAAAACGGCCGATGAGGTAACTGTCCAGTTGGTTCCACTTTGTTGTATCTAAACGCTTTAATTTGCAGGTGATTCAGGAAATCGACGACATGATGCAAGAGGACGAGGCGTCCCTAGACGACAGTCCTCGCGACTCTTTTGAAAACAGCGAAGCCATGGAAAAGGCTAAAGAAGTGCTGGCGTCGCCGCTCTACGAAGACAGTACGTGGCCATAGGCTGAAAACCGTTAAAAGCCCTAACTGGCATTCGTTTTAGAATTGCGCGATCTCAGCCTGTCGCAGCTGAACGAACTGTTCTTGGAGCTGGAGGTGCTGATTCGCGAGTTCTCCGAAACTCTCATTGCAGAGCTGGCGCTCCGCGACGAACTGGAATATGAAAAGGAGCTGAAAAACACGTTTATTTCCCTACTGCTGGCGGTGCAAAACAAGCGGCGGCAGTACCATGTGGAGAGGAAGCGAAGTTCAAAGAGCAGCTCAGTGCGCACTCCAAATGGACTGGACCCTAAAGTAAAAGCTACTTCTCTATGCACGCAAGTTCTTTCTACTACTGATTTTTTTGGCTTTGCAGTATCTAACCACGGTGATACCGTATCACATAGACAATGGCACCCCCGACAATCAGACCTTGCAAATTTTAATCAAAAGTAAGATTGAACCATGAACACGTTTTTTACGAGCAGTTTTCTAATTCCTTTTGCGTTGCAGTCCTAAAGGCGATCAACGAAGACAGCCCCACTGTTCCCACCCTTCTCACCGACTATATTCTAAAAGGTCAGTATGGTCTAGTCTTCAACTAAAGCCAACTAATTGATGATTTGTTTCCAGTTATATGTCCAACGTAAATCCCAGTTAGCGCACAAGAAAATCTCGCTAGTTTTCTTGACCACCACTAGATTAATGGTAGTTTAGGAGTAAGTAACAACAGATAAATTCAACTTTTTTCACCCTACAGCTCCTACTCCAACACCGTGCGAATGTGGAGCTTTTGGGGCGACTTTAAACCGTAATGGAAATGAATAACTGCACAACTTGCCCTCGTCGATCGTTCCAAGTGTCATATTTGAATCTAGTCTAACGACTTTGTACGATATTTGTATATTTTTAAGCGCCTGTGTACATGGATTTAATTAAGGCTTTCTGTGATTTTTAATGGCGCCCGTTCTTCGGACGTTTTAATTTATTTCTGTGCGATATTCTAGCTTAAAGTGGTCGTTTGTATGGCGTTTGCCGACATCATTTATTTCGTCTTCGGTTGCTTATTTTGATGTACAAAGGTAAAATCTGGCAAATATTTCAGTATTGTGCCTAAAATTTTCGCTTTCTTGCCAATTTAACAGTTTGGTCACCGTGTTTATCCTCTACTAGCTAATGTCCAGTTGTAACTAAAGTTTTCAGTGTCCAAATATCTTACGTGTGGTCTGCGGACCATTTACCTGTGTACCAGATCTCAGAACACAAGAAATGATGTTAAAAACTATTACTGCTTAAATACAGATTGATAATCATTGAGAGTTTTGCCACATTTCAAAGTAGTTAGGTCATTTGCCCGTTCCCGGTGCACGTCCATTTGTCCTTTTCGATCCTGTAGCTTCACAATCTAGGAAAAAATCTGTATCGAAAGCATTCCAGTTAATAAATTGGATAAGTTTCTTTCACTGAAGATGTAGATGATTCTGTCAAAACATCCCGTTTCTTCGTTTCAAACTCGAACGATTTTCTTCGGTTAAACATAATCCTAATTAAAAAATTCTGTATAAAGCAAGCTTCAATTTGCGCAAAAAATGAACGGCTGAATTTTGTCAAATTTCACTTGCTGAAGGTGCAAATTATTCTGCCTCTAAAGGAGCTTTTATTTGTTCGAAGCTATTTTCTTCAAAATACTGTATACAGCGCGCGTGCTGGGTGAATGGCAAAGTTACAGAAAAGAAGTTGGTTTGATTGGTTTGTGAGGCATTAAGATGTGGAAAACGTGATGATCTAGGTATTTTCTTGTGTAAATTACTTGCGTTAGTTTCTTTTACTTGAGGCGGACTTTCCTCGGTTTGTTTTAAAATCGCCATTTTATCCAGATTAATAAATCAATCCAGCCGTAATTTTTTCCACAGTTTTGTCGGAGTAAAATAGAATTTTTCCTTTAAACGCCTCCACATTTCGGAGTTTGCTTTGTTTTCCCTTGTCATTCCAGACGCGGATCAAACGTAGAAATACCAACGCAGTGACTCATGGGAAGTCAGGCTAAAACAAAGAAAGCCCGAGCGGTTTCCTTAATTCCCTTAATCGAATTACCCAAATAAGTCTTTATCGCAATTCCCATTAGCTGAGAGTCAGTTATTACGTGTTTGTCCTGCTGGCCAAGCACTGTCGTTCTTAAGCATCCCAATTTTGTGTTCGGTGTTAAACGCAGCACCGTTTTATTGGCCGACACGCCGACGGTCGGGGGCTCTTAATCGCCTAATCGCTTTGACCAAGTGAAGATAAACTTTGTCCTTTGTTGATAACAATGAGCACGATTCGTCACAATCGAAACTGCTCTCATTCGTGTTGAAGTGACCCGGCGAAATGCTCTCAAGAAACGCTCTTTTTGTGCTGGTTGTTATCGGTTGCTGCACGAGTGCCTCATTGGCCATATACCAGGACTGTGGTAGGTTTTTGTCTCAATTGCGCCCTTCGGCTTTATTATCTTAAAGGTATTTGTTTTAGGGTCTCTGGATGGAGCAATTGAGGGTCTGGAAGTGTCCAAATGCGCCGCAACTGCACGACGATGCATCTTGCGAAGAAACACCAACGCCACCATGACCATCAAGTTCAAAACCAGTTAGTGTCTTTTTTGCATTGAGTAAAACCAGACTGGGTGGCTTTTTTCTAGATACCGACTCGGATAGTTTGAAGGCCGTGGTACATGGGATGATTATGGGAATGCCCGTGCCCTTTTCCCTGCCAAACCCCAATGGTTGCAAGGATTCCGGGGTTGATTGTCCCATTCATGCGGGCAACAGCTACCAGTATGTAACCAGCATGCCCATCCTCTCTTCATACCCGCGGGTAAGGGTTGCTGGAAAAAGCTGGTAAAGGATTAACGTTTTTTTGGGTTCTTGCAGGTGACCGTGGATATCAAATGGGAGATTCAAGACGCGCAAGGCCGGGACATAATTTGCGCAATGATTCCCGCGAAAATTGCGTAATTTCAACTGTAAACAGTTATTGACCTGATCGGGTAATTGCTAGGCTTTAAGTTCGTGCCGATTAGAAGAAAAAGCGATCAGTGCAAGTGTCCTCACCGCACTCTGATTGGCAATAAATAAACACTTTTTTTCCAACTCTGATTTTCATTTTTATCCCTAGTAATAGTTGATTCTTTGCTCTTAATCGTTTACGATGTTTATATGAATTGATTCCACTTCATCGGAAGTGAAACGATTAGATTTACATTTTTATTCGATATTTTATACGGTTATTTTTCTGTAACGGGTTACAACGTTTCAGTTTCACCTTGGTAATAGGTTTCAAAATGCTGTTCCAAAAGGAACATGTTCCTTTTTAAATTTTTCATTAAAAATACAGAATGGTGATAGTAGAAATAGTGATGATATATAATGATTTCCTTTAGAGTAACTACTTAAAATTACTCCTTAGAAGTAAAACTTAAAGAACAAAAAACTGAAAATGAACTAGTCATTAAATAAAAATACGGTTTAAATGCGAAAATGTTTAAAAATCTAATTTTCATTTAATTAACATTTAGGAATAAAATTGTTTGCAGATGCTTTTTACTGATTCTAGTTCTTCGCGCGTTTATGATAGCACCCGCTTTAGAAAATCTCTCGCATTTCGTTTCACATTAACATTAAATAATCCACAATAACAACAAACAGAAATGCGTGTTTGGTAAATCTGGACGAATTATTACTCGAGTTAATTTTGGAACCACCAAAAAATAATTTAAAAAAATTTCATCTCTGACTGAATTTATATTTAAAAATGGCCAGCTTGCTTAACTGCAAAGGTGCACATTCTGCTTAAAACGTTTGTTATTTTCCATTTGAACTGTGATGGAATTTATGTCTTAGACTCTCAGTTTGCTAGTAGCTCATATGCAAGTGAACATTCTGCTTAGTTTGCTGGTAATGGGCATATAACTTCCGAGAAGCTTCTTGAGAGAAATCCCTTTTTTTAAGATTTATTACAGAATGTCAGAAAACTAAATACTTATAGACTAAAAATACTGAATTATATCATCGCAGCAATTAAACAAATTTTCTCTGGTTCCTGGAGAGTAATTCGTATAAACGAAAAGTGATACACAATCATCAAGGCAACTCGCAACTACATACAGCATATTTTCCGTTAACAAATGGTTGTTGTTTCGAACCACTTTTTCAGGTTTATGAGGCGGTTTAAAAAAAAAACGATTAAATCGACTAGCTGTAACTACGGTTTCAGGTTACTTGTTTGGAACGCTGTTATTTTCGCGGTTACGTTAAATCCCGACCATCCCTAATATATATGCGGATTATTCTAACCTGTTCTTTCCATTCCTGGATCAGGCAAGATTAAACCTGAGTCACCCTGTAGGTATTTAACAACTACTAAACTTATTCTTAACCGAATAATGAAACTTTTTGCGCCGAGACAATCGCGAAAACGTTTCGTTTTGATTAGTTGTCAGAATATTTGGTCATCAATCATAATGGTAAATCTATCCGACAGTGACATTTAATAGAATTTTATGAAAACGTCAAACAACCGCTGTTATTTTTTTGGGAATTATCGAATTTTCGCTTTAATTAATTCCTTTTTTTGCTCCATAGAATTAATGTGAATGAGTGGTGAGCCTGAAAGCGCTTTTGCTGGTGCTACTGCCCCTTGAAGATATTTAGAATGCGGTTCAAAGGTAAGACTAAGTTCATTGTTTGTTCAAAAGTTCTAAACACACAATCACGAGGGCATGAAAAGATCGTAACATTTCGTATAAAGCACGTGTAAAACATCTTAATTAAGACTTTTTCACGTGGCAACCAATCGCTTTTTCTAATGCCACATTTGGTGCCTTATACAGGGTGCCCCGAAAAAAGTTCCATATCAAACCTATGGTGAAATGAACATTGTATTGCATGTTTGACTTTCAAATAAAACACTCTGTTTATGTCATACATGATGGTGGCCGGCAAAAACAATTTGCAACAAAAAAATACACCAAACAGCAGTTTTTGACCAGAGCAAAAGTGCATTTTTGCCATTATTTCACACTGACCTTTTAAAGCTAATTTTCCCAAAGCTGTGGGCAAGCTAATGAAAAATTTCCTTTGTTGATTTCATGGAATTTGAGCGGTTGGATCTTCATGAGAGGAACCTTTCATGGGATTCTGGGATTTTTCACCTACCTGAGTTTTGAAAGTGACCGCCTGAAAAAATATTTAAATTGCTATGATTCTTTTGCAACTGAAATATCTTTGGCACGAGTTGGAGTTAGTGAAAAGCGAAACCGTTTAGTGAAAGTTTTGTGTTTTACTTTGGTGGCCTTTTGTGTGCCCTTTTCTCCGAAATAGGAAGGCACATGCATGAAGGAGGTGATTTATTGACTGATTTATGTCGATTCCAGTCGCATAACTGATGGCCATTTACTTCGTAAATTATGGGCAACAATGCGAAAACAACTGTGTCAATTTACCGAAAAACTAAGACCGATTTATGAGCACTTTCGAAATAGCTTCAGATGGTTCAGTGTTGTGCTGGCAAATAGCCCTGAAGGAGCTGTGCCAAAGATAAAGGAGAAGAAGTAGTACCGCTACTTATACCCGGTAGTACAAGATCGGCCAATTAAACTCCCCAGATCGTTACTTAATAAATCCCAAGTTTTCCCTAGATTTTCAAAAAAAAAATTATAAATAAAAATGGTTGAAAAAAAGATAAGTGAAGCGAAAAAGGTTATTGGAAACGGTATTTTACGAAATTAAAAAATGTAAAAAAATGGAACTCATAATTTTGCTTCAATTTGTATTCTTCCTATTTATTTTTTCAGATTCAAGTTTTAAGTTAAATGGGTATTTGACAAAGTATATATGTATATGGAGTAGTTGCAAATCACACTCACTGCAGGTGTATTAAATTTTGCATCCCAGCAACGATAATTTCCGGGAAATTAAAAAAGACATTAAAGGAGATTTTTAATTAATTGAGATTTCTTAAAACAAATTGTAGTTCCTCTCTACTTGTTAGCCTTCTGTAGTCCGATATTTTAATATTTTCTTTCCGTAATTATTTTTTTTTGCAGATAAACTAAAAATTAAAAAAATACCTAAATTATAACAAATCCCTTTTTCCTTTTGCATGAGAAAAAATTCCCGAGAACTAGCGAAAACTTCCCTAGTATGGCATCTCTAGTACAAGACACAGTACTAACATCTAACTCAGTTACATTCACAAAATATCCCCCTTATATAGGGGGTATGTTCTGTAGTTACATTTTACGCATTGCAAACATAGATGAACTCAATATTTCAAATGAAACACACAGTTCTGCCCATAGATTAACTAAGTTCTGGCTAACTGAGATATTATTATTCGTCAAATAATATTTTTAAATTAGTAAATTGAATCTGAACTGTTACTCTTTATAAAATTTTATGCGAAACTTTAACGCCCCCAAATATCAAATTATTGTATTACTGAAAATCAATATTTTGTCCAGTTCTAAAATAGGCAGTACCCTACAAAAACACATCCCAAGGTGAGATTCTCACTTTGCAAGTTACAGAGGAAATAAAATGCTAAACGGAAAAGCAGAAACGAATTTAAAAAATCCTAGAAAATTGCTTGATGCTTACTGAAAGTCGAAACTTTCAGCACTTGTAGAGCAGACTTTGCTCTATAAACTGCATTCGCTCTTACTTCGTCATAGTTTCTGAATAACTAAATAAATTCCAAACTCAAAGGCTTGCAAAAACACTCACGTAAACCAGATGCCATTTGGAAAAGTTCTTGAAAATTGCCTGATGATTAGTGAAAATCGAAACATTTTCCATTTATAGTCTTATATTCGTCCAGCCCTTGTGCCGCCACTGATTAAGCCCTATTCTCGTAACGGGACTGTTTTAAACGTCGGTTCCAAGGCAAACAATTGCTAGTTTTCTGTGAAATTTCACATCTTAAATCGCCTGGCGTTGTCTTTGACTCCTGAATTGAAAGGGACCCTACATTTAGGAACCAATAGACAAACGACGCTCGTTCCGTTAGATTTGAAATTGGTGTTTTTTTTGCCACTGGCCGATTGTATGTGAGCAGGTAGGTGAACAATCAGCAAAACCCCGTCATTTTTAGCTTTAATTCTCTCTGGGATTTTTCCACTTGGTTCTCTTTCGGAAAACTATGTTCAGTATTATTTGATCTCGAAATCTTTATCCTCGTTCGATTATGCAAAAAAACTCGGATCGCGATTGATATTAAAAGAAAGCATGCAATACGAGACATTTTTTCCGAGCTAAACAGTTCGAAAATGGGAATAAAAGCCAGTTTGCTGCAGGCTTTTAATATAAAATACTTGGCACACAAGTAAAGAATCTTTCTAAAGACTATGTCAAATAATGAAAAGTTACACGCGAAAAAATACTTGTGATTGCAATACAAAGCTCAGAATGAAACCAACAAGTCCCAAAAGACAGGTTTTACTTGAGAATAAAAAGTTCAGTTAGTTCTGCTTTTGGGAAAGAAGGGCACAAAGAGAAATAGTTTGAAGATATCAATGTTTCCCACACTAATGGTTACTTACCGCTCTTTAAAGGTCTGTTCTCCTTAATTCCCATATAATTCGCTTGGGCTCCCAAAGGCGGTAGTCATTAAGGGTAACAGAAGTAAGAATTTCAAAGGCGACTTAAATGGTAAATGGCTAAACTGAAGAACAATTTACAAAACCAATAGAAATCTTTCGAACATGAGGGCGTGCGTCTCAAATAATAACGTCACTGCCAAATAGCTTGAAACAGACTGGAAAATCCTCCTTCGGTATGCTGATGTATTTTGTCAACTGTGAAAATATAAATTGAGTTCGATTTTATAACTCGAGATTATGAGTACCTACTTAATAAGTAAACTATTCGATTATTGCTATGTTGTAGGTCAAGGTAGCGTTGACGAGAATAACGTTTTTYTTGGGGCTCGATGCYAGCGAGCCAACAATTMTTGTTTTATTAGTGTGCTTATTAGTCAAAGGGGCTTTAAACTTTRAAATTTCCTAAAACTTCGGAACTTCGGCTAGACCTTCGGAAGGACAATAYGATTCCACCCGAAAAGTGAAATTTCAAGCTGGCCCGGCGCGTTACCGATTGTTGCACTTTACTATAATGCTATTATGTTGAACGCGCTTTTGAAATCCCTGTMTTGATGTACCTACCTGCAACAATTSGAACGAAAAAAAAAACCGTTTTATAGTTTAGCATCMCGAACTGCCGAGAAGTTGCCTTTGAAGTTCTAGAGCTTGTAAGAAAACATACGGGTAGAGTATAAAAAAATTAAAATCTCGATAGGGATCGGCTTTTTTGTATCAACTTTATAGGGCATATTCCGTTTTATAAATGACAAGATGTCAAYATCAGACTATTTCAACGATAKGTTTTGTGATTGCTTATGCAGTTTGGCAGTTATTTCCTCAGAAACCTCACTGTTAAATGCGATCCATGGGCGGAAAACGTTTCGGTTTTGAGTGATCGTCAGGGTAGTTTTTTTGCACGGCTAAGCTAACAAAGCTGCAAGTGGAAGTAAGCTCTTTCAGTCGAAAAAGCTGCTATTACTGTCAGACTTATAAGCAATATTCGAACGTGTTTCATTTATCACATTTATTGGAAAAAAGAGCCATAGACACACCCGAGCGCGTTTCTAATTCGACGGCCACAACCCAAAAAATAGGGGTTTTCTAGGATTATTGCTACAAGGAATAGTAAAAGACGCACATTTGGAAATATATCTTATTTATTAGAAAATTTGGTACATTAATCTAGGTAAAAACGAATTCGAGATCAATAATTTAAAACTGCTGTCGCGAAGCAATTCAGGTACAAAATCAGTCGTAACTTACAATATCTATCAGTCAACAAGTAAATACTTTAATTCTCTGAATGCGTCCCATGACTAGTGTAGGAGTTAAATGTACATCGGGAGTAGGACTCAAGTTAGGACATCAGTTCCATCGGGCGGCGCTTGAAATGTTCCGCAGGACTGGAACTTTCATCTGAAAGCAGCATTGTATCAGTTTTCCTGCAACTTTAATTCGGGCAAGGGGCAACTTACCTTCGGCGCACTCACGTATACGCTTCGGTCTCATTTGGTAGCTACTGGAAGAGGCCCCCATTATAATAAGGTTGCGGGCTTTTAAAATCGACTCATAATCTAAGAGCTGGTCCCTGAAGCCTTTATTTGGATTAATGGATGGCCGTATTGAAGACACGCGATCTATGGCTTCGCTAAAACGGATCTCGAAGTGAGACTGGGGTTCAAGGGATACGAAGGAAAGTTAGGACTTACTTTGCACCTATTTTCAGTAGTTCCATTAGATAGGCAGCTACAATGACGGCGCTGCGCGAATTCCCATGGGTGCTGCACACCAGCACTTTACGTTTTTGGTACAAGCCTTCACGAATAAACGAGGAAGTCTCATCGAGCAATGGAATAATGTTTGAGTATTCGCTGTTTGTTAATGCGATAGGCAAGTACTTGATGCCTTGCGGAGCACGAGGCGGCGCAAGGCTAAACAGAGGCTCGTCAAGCAACTCTATTACAAGTCTAGAAAGTAAATACAATTCGAGAATTAGCATTTTTATGTTGCAAATTGCTTCCACAATTATTACTTGATTCCTAACTTCGCCAATTCGGGATAAGGCATCGAATGTTCCTCCTTCTGAGCCCCCAAATAGAGCCCCGGTATAATCTCTTGCACGTAACTGTCCTGCCACCAACTGGATCCCTGACAAATTACGAAACTCATCTAAAAACATTATTTTTTCCATCAGTCCACAAGCAACTCTCCATCTCGCTCTACTGTATGGTTTGAGGTTATGAGATTAAAGGCGCCAAAACGATTGCATTTACTGGGCTGCTCACGAGCCATGCCCCAAACTCAGTACCAAATTGGTAAAATAAATGGGGGCAGGGGCGAAGTACCCGAACAGCGGTCTGTTTGATTAGTTAATTCGTACATACCTTGGCACTATTTATTAGACCAATGGTTGGGTCTGGCATTCTTCAACGAAGACACTAAATACAAACACTGTATTGCGCTCGGGCAACTAAAACTATGCAGATTGGGTAAAAAGTGAGTAGAAGCAGCGTGTGTACGGTGTGTACCGCAGAAGAAAACATGTAAAACTGTGTGTAAAACCACGTACGAAAAACGTCCGGAACCCACGTGGAAGCTGTTTTATACCTGGGGGCGGGAGGTGGCGGACGCATGGGTGGGAGGGTGAAAAACCCAGCGCTGTGTTGCCACCATGAGAATGGAGCATTTCTGAGTTTAGCCATAGAGTAAATAATAGAGTAAATAATCTAAATATATAAATATACCATAGAGTAAATAATCTGGCCAAATCAGCAAATAAGCCAATACACTTTTTTCAACCCTTCGAACCCTTCGAAGATTTATTCGATTTTGTTCCAGATATATTTTCTTAATTTGAAAGATGGGAAAAAGTTTATTGGCTTATTTGAAGAAGCAAACATTTACTTCAGCATTGTTACCAAGGGTTCACCATTATCGAAATTCGACTTGAAATAAAAAACATAGATAAATATGAAAAAAAACGTTTATTTAGGTTAACCAGGTTAACCGCAAAATTAATGCGTTTTAAATAAAACGCATTATATTATATTATTATATTATATCATATTTAAATAAATATGATCTTTTATGTTGTTTTACAAAAATATTTCACGGCTAAATGTAAATGGTTAAACTGCACCCCTAATAGCGCCCCCTGTGGTGAATAGGTCCAACTAAAATCGCTAAAAGCACCCTATGCTAATAATAGTAATGACTGTAATAAGTCGAACTAAATTATACAAAAGTGCCCTCTATAGTGAATAAGTCGAACTATAACGGTTACCTTCCCCTCTATTGATGCAGAAGGAGCTTTTGTCGAATTTAGTTGGGCCTATTCACTATAGAGGGCGCTTTTGTCTATTTTAATTCGACCTATTCACTACAGGGGGCGCTTTTGTATAATTTAGATCGACTTATTCACCGCAGAGGGCGCTTTTATCGATTTTAGTTTGACTTATTCACTATAGAGGGCGCTTTTGTCGATTTTAGTTGGACCTATATGAATAGGTTATAACACTTATATATACCGTATATACTATTATTATTATTATTATTATTCTATAATAGTAATAGTTATAACGCAAGTGATTCCGAGGGGGTAATCCTTTACGATACAGTCTGCTGTGGCACGCGCACATGCCCGTATGCACGGTACGCGCAGCCGAAAATGGCATACTGGTCAGCCATGTTGCCGAACTGCCACCAAAGTAGAAAGTCACAATGAAAACAAAAAAGTGAATTTCCATTAACAAGAATATGTATGCAAAGAAAATAAAATAATCGGCCATTTTCTCAATAAAGTATCTTCAGCTTTGGTTTCTCTAGGATGAACGCGTGTGAGTTTTTAATCGGTTAATTGGAATTATGATGAGTATCGGAAAAGTATTGAAAATACATATATCATAATCTAATCACTACCTATTTTATATTAAATAGTCAATTATATTAAATGATTTATTTACATGAAAAGGTTAAGGAAGTGATAATGTTAAGAAAGTGCTAATATAGTACTGGCAACTACGCGAAAATTTTCGACTGGCACGCCGGCGCAAAGAGGTGAACCATCATGGCGACCGTTGTTTTGTTTTTGAAATTGGTGAATCTCAGAGGGTGAAAAGTCGTGGAAAACGGCATTCGGCCGAGAAATGTATAGGAAAAATGTTGTTTGGAGAAAGGTATCAAAACTTAATAATAAATAAAAGTTCGCAAATTGTTCGTCCCAAAAGGCGATCAACTAACGGCCTCAGGAAGTTGTGGGTTTAAGAATTATCGAATTTCTGGCCCGCTGAAGGGAGGATACTTAGATCCTTAAGCGCCAAAGGATGGATGAAAAACGGTGATAAAATAGTCCACAATTCACCAAACAATAAGGAATTTTCCCAAACAGCGCGAAATACCAATTTGCTTAGTCAAATGGGACTTACCCGTAAATTCGGGAACCACATGGCACTTGATAAATACAGTTTTTCTACAGTCAACCGTTCTGGCTAGACAAAGAAAATATCTGCACATGAAACGGCGAAAATGTAATTCACTTTTGTCTATAAGTAAAACTTGGAATCAGCCAGGTTTTGTTCACTTAAAGTAAATCGAAGCGCGGTCCATAAACACAACCTGGATCATACAGAAGGTAACCTGGAGAAAAAACGGGACTGAGTCTGTCCTGACGCAATCTGTGCAGACTTATTTATACCAACAAAATAGGGGTTGCCTGTAATATGGGGTTCCTCTGCCCGATACGCGCGCTTCCGCTGTGCACGCAAAAATTACTTCAAACGGCTAATTTGGTCTGTTCTTACGTTAGTACTCGATAATACTTATCGAAACAACACAAACATAACATCATTGGCAGCAATAGCAGAAACAAAAATAGACGTATTTCAATAAGTAGTAACGTTATTTTAGTTTGACTGTATTGAAATGTATTGAAATGGGAAATGGCAATCACGTGACGTCACATCTTCCGCTCGAGATTACATCTCAACCTGTATACCAATCTAATCGCCAAATAATCGTGATTTTCGATTTGTGTACGTCTAACAGAACTCAAAATGGAGAATATCGAATTATACTAAAGTTAATTCAAAAGAAATTCCTGGGTTCCAGTCAATTTTATTGTTCACCATTTAAAATATTACAAAAACGTTTCGGTGTTTTTCTCTACCATCATCAGTCTGTATGTATGGTATTTAAGCCATAAGTTGAAATACACTTAGGAAAATATACACATTAAAGTTAATAATAATTATTGTTCTGTCTCTCTGATCTATGACAAAAACAGAGTAAAGGAGACAACCGAAAGTTTACCTCTGCCGATTCTCTTGACATCCTAAAATGTTCATAAAACTGAATGCTTAGCAATTATTTCTTCGGAATAATGTTCATTTCGTACTTGTCGTCCCCTTTGTTCTATTGCCAGAAAAGGTATAATGGTATGGCCAGTGTTCTATATTTTCCAAAATGTTTACGTCAATACCAGAATCGTTCAAAAAAATATTTAAAGCATCATCCATTCTTTTCACTTTGAAAAATATATCAAAGGTGCATTCAGAATTCAGAAGAAATGCCCATCATCACGTGACCGATGACTTAGCGCTAACTCATTGATATTGCCTGCTGAATGCGACCAAGGGTTGTTTAAAAGCCACTTGTCCTAAATCCCGAGAAACCGCGAGCAATGTAGATATAGCGCAAAAAATCTAGCAGCCACCTATGAAAATAACACTCAAGCACATCAACCAAAGGTACTGGAAAATGGAATTTGCTTAATAAAGAAGAAGGCCGCCATTGGTTATTAGTACGAATAAATAAACCTAAAACTAATAAATTATTTGGAGTTTGATAATATTATAATGTCACTACAAACATAATAATGTACACAGTCACATTAATATAGGTACCTAGTAATAAATATGAATTGCTAAGTTGCTGGTACAGAGATTTTATATTAGGTGAGCATATTGGTCACCGTGCCACTGGTCATATAGTCTGATGTCCTTAAAAATTATCTAAAGTTTTATAGATATTCAAAGGTTTATGTGACATGAAAATATGATTACAGAGTTTAACATTCATCTCTGACTACCCATTGAGACACAGAACTAATAGGTATAAACCTATATGTATATACTATTAATAAATCGTTATCATTTTTAAGCTGAGATTAAGCGTAGCTTAAATACTTCGAAATATAGGCATGATTAATAGAATGCACACAATGTCATCTTGAGTGATAAGCATCTAAAAACAGTCGTTTTCAACCTTCAACACGTGGACGAGTTATGCCATATTCATTTGTTATTCCGGATCGATTGACTACTTATATAAAATTGGGAAATCATCTTACTTATTTGCTATGTCAGCATGAAAACCTGTATTACTGACTGAATGATTACAGCAAATTTTACGTCTTATCTAACGTTTATGCCCCCTATTTATCGGTCGGTAGGACTTAAACTCGCCACTCGACTAGGCAATTGTAGTGTTGATCACAACGTGAGGTGATTCGCAATTCGCAACAGCAGTTTACTTCTATTGATCGGTAAAGTACTCTCGCAATGGGTTTTTTCAGCGCCGTGTGTACGTCCACAGCAAGGCTTGATGGCAAAACGGCAGTCATTACAGGATGCAATACTGGTATTGGAAAAGTCACAGCTAAGGACTTCTTTGAAAGAGGTAGGCGATCGATTCATATACACAAGGGCGGATCCAGG